CATCAATCATGACCCAGAGCCGATGCAGAGATTTAGTGTGAACTGATCTGCTCTGAGACGCTGAAAACACTGGCGAGTCATGATAAATGAAGACAGTGTCACGCTTCACTCTAAAACAGCGCATACTTTTACTGAATTAAATCACAGCCTTTGCAGTTTGATAATTGATGAGATATATTGCAGTCTCAGTGAATCGTGCAGCCCTGATTTTAGGTCGACTTGAAGCCCTCTGTTTGACAACCACAAATTGAAATAATGTGATGTTTGGCTAAAGGTTGTTTGCATTGGTATTTTGATCCAGCATATGTCGAATGTGTTCTCAGCATCAGAAGAGCTCTCAGTGGTGTCAGGATCATTTCCTCAACTACAAAGGGCTCCTCCGGGCCGTGGCTGTGCGCGAGCAGCTGCGACACCTCCTCAACAAGTTCAAGGTGCCTCGGACCTCCAGTGAAGGTGACTCCTCATCCTCTCCACCATATCACATTATCACATTATTGCCCTGTCAGTTGCACCTAACACTTTATCTTGATTTCATGATTTTCTAGTGTTGTTCTATCAGTTTTCATACTGGTCCGTCGCACCATCAGACCACATTGTCAGTGTGTCGTGTTTTCATACTACCGTTTGTCATATCGGTAACATGCTTCATCCTCAGACTTGAATAAAGCAATAAGCCCCGTGAAGCCGTGGTTTACAGTGGATTTATAACAGCACTCAACCAATCAGAATCAAGGACCGGAACACTCGGTTTTATAATGTCGTATCAGTGTGTCATCACATGACTGTATTTCGTATGTGTTCAGTGATTTCTCGCTCTTCTGTCTGTGCTGCAGGTGATCCGGATGTGATTCTCAGATGTATTGTGTCTGGTTTTTTTGCGAATGCCGCCCGAATGCATCACTCCGGCTCCTACAGGTCGGTTCATTCCTCCCTACTTCAGTTTCCTCAGTAACCTACTGACTGTTCCCGCCATAAATGTGTCTTTTGCAGTGTTGGGGAAAGTTACTTTTAAAAGTAATGCATTACAATATTGAGTTACTCCCTAAGAAAGTAACTAATTGCGTTATTTATAACTTTCCATAAAAAGAAACTGTGTTAATTTACTTTTGAGTTACTTTTTCCTCATCTGTGCTGGGCTTGCTTGTTTATTTTTAATATAAAAAGTTATATTTTTGGCTAACAGAAAAGCCCTTTCACACCAGAAGTGAAATGAATACGCCTCAGGCTGAAGGAAATGGAAATTCACGTCTGTACAGTAGAGGGCGCAGCTCAAACAAACCTTTCATGGATTGCATGAAGAATAGAAAGTAAAACACTCAAAAAATATCAAGACATTTTTGCATATTAGTGTAGTTGAATTGGATCATTGAAGGTCAGCAGCAAATACATTGGTTAATAAAATTGGATTAAATGCATAAAGGATTTTTGTTATTTAACATATTTAATTATTGCAGGTTTGCGTCATATTCTGAGTTTGCGTTTCACTGTTTTAATTCATTTTGAGGAACACTGAATCTGTTTTTGTGCTGTAAGATGAGTAAATACATGTTTTATTTATATTTATATATAAATAAATATGTATATAATATTTTAAATAAATATAATAAATGTTGTATATTAAATATTATAAATAAATATTTTTAATATTATATAAATATTTATAAAATATTTTATTTATAAGGACAACACACATTAATCAACATTTCTGTAAATGTGCCAGTGTTAGCCAGCCAGCTAATGTTCAGCTGCAGTCCTTTGGCAAGATGTCTCCGAGCCCTTTAAAATATCAAGAAGAATGAACAAAAAACAAGAAGACATCAGTACACTAACACAATAACAGCAATCAACACGATTAGCCATGCAAGCACACGAAGCGACAACGCACAGCCTTCAGTAGGTGTGTGCAGGCATGCTGGACAAACATTAACCATACATGAAGCACAACAGACACCATTATGGGTTAATAAAATAACACACACCTAAATCAGTCGACACATGAGAAGCAAAGTAACTGGTGTCATTTATTTGAAAAAGATATTTTCCTGTAAAAATAGTAAAAGTAATGCGTTACTTTACTAGTTACTTGAAAAAGTAATCTGATTCCACATCTCGCGTTTCCCCCAACACTGCTCTTTTGTGTGTGGCTAATCTTCCTCTAATGTTGTTGATTGTCCAGGACTCTCCGTGATGACAGGGAACTGTTCATTCACCCTGATTCGGTGCTGTATGGAGAAAAGCCCCCGAAATGGTACTTATATAAACCCAAGGGAATTAATGGTGCTTATTCCATTTAGTTTGTTGGTTTTTCACTGAATACTAACTGAACTCTTTGTTTGGGGCCGCGGCGCAGGGTGGTCTTCAATGAGGTGGTTCAGACCAGCAAGTACTACATGCGTGACGTGACGGCGGTCGAGTCCTCCTGGCTGGTGGAGCTGGCGCCTCACTTCTACAAACAGGCCAAGGTGAGAGCGACACAAACCACACAGCATTTACAGGCAGATGAGCCGATCTAGACGCCTCTCTTCTGTCTGGACGAGTGTTGTCACGGTACCAAAATTTCAGTATTCGGTACCAATACCAGTGAAAATCCACGGTTCTCGGTACCAATTTCGGTACCAAAGCAAAACACAAAAACATGCTAATTAAAACATTTGACTATACTTTCATTTAATCCAAACTGTGGGATTTAAAAAAACCTAGAGTTATTCAGCCAAAAATAACAACTAAGTTAGCTTAAAAAAAAAAAAAAAAGCCCAAAACTGCTTTTCTGACTGATATGACACAAACAATGTTAACCATTTGTACACCTTAATCATGTTTGTTTATAAATGTTTAAAAAATTGTTTAAAGTGTTGTCTGCTCACCAAAGCTGCATTTATTTGATCAAAAACACAATAAAAACAGTAATATTATAAAATAGTATAACAATTTAAAATAACAGTTTTCTATATCTGTTAAAATGTAATGTATTTCTGTGATCAAAGCTGTATTTTCAGCATCATTACTCCAGTCTTCAGTGTCACATGATCTTCAGAAATCATTCTAATATGCTGCTCGGGAAACATTTCTGATTATTATCAATGTTGTGTATTTTTGTGCAAAAAAAGTTTTTTTTTAAAGATCCTTTGTTGATTAGGAAGTTCAAAAGAACAGCATTTATCTGAAATAGAAATCGTTTGTAACATTATAAATATCTACACAGTTGCTTCTGATTAATTTAATGCATCCTTGCCGAATTTAAAGTATTAATTTTCCCCTGAAAAACATTCTCACCTTTAAAGTTTAAATTAAAAACTGGTTTTACTGAATCATTTATACAAATGCTTCAACAAAAATACAAGCCAATTCCTTTCATTACAAAACCAATGAACCTCACTAGTCATATTTGCTCTTTGCTACAGTTAAATACGTTTTGGTTGTTGATGATGTCACACAAAAATATATTAACATGGCTTTTTTATACAAAAACAGACTAATATTGCCTTTAAAAAATGGCTTTTTTCCCCCACCTCTGCCTCTCTGATTTGTCTTATAGCACGGGTCTCTGAACAGCAAGCGGGCCAAAGTCTTCTGAGCTGAGCTACATCCACACTTCCAGGTTTTTGCTGAACAGCTGGCCATAGATAGAGGAAGATCTTAAGGAACCGCTCCTCTAAAACTAAAGGAACTATTAAGTACACACATGCACACTTTGGTGTTTATTGCAGCTGGAAGGCAAAAGGAACACTGTGGTATTTTGTATATACAAATGTATGTGATACATTTATGCGGTCTTGGTCATCTTTGTATTATTTAACAGCCATTGGAATAAGTTGACTGTGATTTTGTTGTTTACTGTTTGAGAGTGAGAGAATGACTGGATGGATGGATGGATAGATATTGATGATGTACAGCTTTACAACATCGCACGAAGCCCTACCCTCAACAGTAACCATAATATTACTATAATAAGCTACTTTGTACCAGTTATTTCGAACCCTCATCGGAGAAATACTGTGTAGCTCAAACGTAGTGGCCTTTTAACCATTATGTGCCAAATATTATAAATCCGTAGAACATTTCCTGATGTATGTGGAATGTGAAATGAATTGTAGTTACACTGTCAGCATGAGACAAAAAAGTGCCATTTTTTAAATATTATATATATATAGGTCCCCATAAAGTAGCCTTGTTATGCACCTCTGGCCTAAAAACTGTGTTATTAGGTGTAATTATTCATTTCATAGTGTAGTGTAAGATCTCATTTAGGAAAGATCAGCCATGACTTGTTCAGTGTGGTGAGTGAATAGCACAGCGAATGAGACGCCTCAGGGAGGAGCTTCTTTCTTATTAAAGTAAATGGGGTGCTAACTGTGGATATGGCAACCCTTCTCAGGCCACGCCTCTTCTGGGCGTGGCGTTTAATAGGAAGGCTGAGGTGCCAATCATGTGGGTGGAGGCGGAGCCTCTCATAATGTGATGTTTTGACAACGTTTGTGATGTTTTAGTTTTACTGTGACATGTTGGTCCCTGCATAGTTTATTATATCCCAAAAAATGTAATTAAAATCTACATTCAAGGTTACTTCTGTAACATTATTACCAAATGTCTTCAAGACAACACACATGGTTATAGAGTATATGTAGTCGGTAGACTTGAGTAGTGTAGATTTAGCTGCTGACGGAGTCCTGTGCAGTCTTATTGATAGCAGTTTAAACGTTCTTGCATGTCTTTAAACAATACAGATCTCACGTAGTTTCACAGCAGTGCGGTTATTTGTGGAGGAAATCAAATAATCATACCTTACTCTGACTCTGTCCAGATGTGCTGCTCCAGAGCTCTGTGTGGCAGAGAGTCAAATAAAGTCTGATGTTCACTGTAAAAACACGTGCCGAGTCTCTACTGAGGTCTGTTTTACATAGAATAAAGGTGGATGGAAACTGTGGAAAACTATGCGGTTTGGTTTTGTATAAAAGTGTCCATGTGATGCTGGTAAAATATTAAAACTGCTTCATGTTTTAGGACTTGACACTCAAATACAGGCTACAAATAATAGCAGAGATATCGAACTACATGTTTATGATTAAAACAAGTGTGTGATTGACCAGAAGGTGTCAGTGTTGGTCAGAGAAATACATTCAGTCTGATTCAGAGAAACATTTCATCAGATTATGAACTATTCTCTTGTCTAGCATGTGCTAATAAATGTGCACATCTGAAATAATATTACAGTCTTTTGGAGACACTTTGAGGTCAGCAGGAGGTTTGGGGTTAGTAGGAATTTTTTTGTTTGTTTTGAAAAAAGTCTGTTATGCTCACCAATTTATTTTTTAGTTAAAAGCAGTAATATTGCAAACTATTATTACATTTTAAAAATAATTGTCTCCTAATTGATCACTGTTGTAAGTATAAATGGCTTAATGAACTTCGTGTATATATATATATATATATATACAGGTGCATCTCAATAAATTAGAATGTCATGGAAAAGTTCATTTATTTCAGTAATTCAACTCAAATTACAGTCTGGTCAGCTATCCTTACTCACACACACATGCGCACATTCACACACGCACGCATGCTCACACTCACGCACACACACACGCACGCACACACACACACACACTCACGCACACACACACACACTCGCACACACACACACAGTCTGGTCAGCTATCCTTACACACACACACTCACATACACACACACGCGCACATGAGGAGTTTATTCAACTCCATCTCCTCCCATCCACACACCTGTGGATGCGTCTTATGATTTACACTCAACAAAATATGTCAGAATAGTGGCTATTGGATGCTGATTTACCACAATTTCCTACATGGGATCTATTTATCATGAGGTTTTCTAAAAACTAATTATATATTAATCCTGTCAAGCGATAAATTGCATACAAAAAAGTTTTTGTTTACATAATATATGTGTGTGTGCTGTGTATATTTATTATGTATATACACACACATGCATGTATATATTTAAGAAAAATGTTTATATAGCCTATAAAATATATAAATCTATATATATATATATATATATATATATATAGTGCTGTCAAACGATTCATCACGATTAATCACATCCAAAATAAGTTTAATAAAATAAAAGTTTTTATTTATATAATATATGTGTGTACTGTGTATATTTATTATGTATATATAAAAGCACACACATACAGTATATATTTTGAAAATATTTACATGTATACAGTGCCGCTTGAAAGTTTGTGAACCCTCTAGAATTGTCTATATTTCTGCATAAATATGACACAAAACATAATGAAAATTTCGTGTCGTGAAAGTTGACAAAGAGAACCCAATCAAACAAATGAGATGAAAATATATACTTTGTCGTTTATTTATTCAGGAAAATGATCCAATATTACATATCTGTGAGGTGGAAGTGTATCATGGCACAAACAAATGAGATCTCTGAGGACCTCAGAAAAAGAGTTGGTGTTGCTCATCAGTCTAGAAAAGGTTACAAAGCCATCTCTAAAGAGTTTGGACTGGACAATGGGACCCTTTGGACCCATCTGTGAAACATGATGGTGGTAGTATCATGGTTTGGGCCTGTTTTGCTGTATCTGGTCCAGGACGGCTAGCCATCATTGATGGAACAATGAATTCTGAATTATACCAGCGAATTCTGAAGGAAAATGTCAGGACATCTGCCCGAGAACTGAATCTCAAGAGAAAGTGGGCCATGCAGCAAGACAACGACCCCAAGCACACAAGTCGTTCTACCCTTTGTTGGATTGGATTCTCTTTGTCTACTTTCAGGATTTGTGTGAAAATCTAATTATGTTTTGGGTCATATTTGTGCAGAAATATAGAAAATTCTAAAGGGTTCACAAACTTTCAAGCAGCACTGTATATTTATATTCATATAATTTATATGATATATATTATATAAACAAAACATATTTTTCTTAAATATATACATGCATATATTATGTGAACAAAAACTTTTATTTTGCGATTAGGGCTGTCCTCGACTAAGGAATTTTCTGGTCGACTAGTAGTTGTTCATTTTAAGCATTAGTCGACTAATCGCACATTTATTAATAAACCATTTAAATCATTATTATGAGCCTTTAATTGCCTATGTAGCCTAATATATGCACTCAAGTGCACGAATAAGGCTTGCCACAGCACATCGGCAGAAGTAATGGTTATGAATGTGTCAGTGACAAACAGTAAGGACACTGCATTAACATTTGAATAATTTGATAAACTAGTGATATCTTTGTTTTCGGTTTAAGAGATTAATTTGGCGACACTGACTCCGCAGTACTGCTGCGCCTGTCTGCATGTTTCATACGGATTACATAATCTGAGAATATTTGTTTTCCATTTGAATTGGTTCATTTGAAAGTAGACATTTCACTCTCTATAGATATATTTTTCATGTCCGTAAGGTAAAGATATACACAGAGTTTCGCTCTCAAGTTCACAGAGACCGAGACGGCAGAAATTGCATCATATTTGCTTTCATTATTTCACAAAAGCACAATTTGTTGTTATTGTGAGTGCACACAAATAAACGTAGAGTCTTTACAGATTTGAAAGATGTATTACTCTTATCTGTATGAGCAAAAATGACGGAGTATTTTAAGAGCAAGTGAGCGCACCGGCGCCTCCATCTGTCCTGCAGTGAGCTGCTGTTCAGCTTCCACACTCCACACAGACACTTGAATAGCGCACATTTCTCTTGGTTAACTTAGACTGATCAGCCATGTAAAGTTGCTAATACTTACATATTTCAGATATATAATATTAATATAAATATATACATATAAATACATAAGTATATATTTTGTAAATACATACAAAATATATACTGGTTGTCTGTGTATTTATATATACATTAAAAATATAGGCTACACAGTACACACACATATATTATGTAAACAAAATCTTTTATTTGGGATGCGATTAATTGTGATTATTCGTTTGACAGCACTATATGCATTATGCATTTATTTTATTCTCAGTTTATTCCTTTTATCTATTATTTGTCATGACTAGATGTTATAATTAAGAACGACTAATATTATCAGATATTATTAATCGTGTTTGTACAGTGTGCCTCCATTAAGTAGCATTAATAGTGCTTTAAACTCTTAGCTGTCAGGATTATGGACCTGTTTTGTTGTGTTTTCCCTCCCCATGTGCTCAGTGACCCAGTTTCTCCTCTGTTTGATTGTGTTCATGTGATTCAGGTGTGTCGTGTTAATTGTCCTCATTACCCCATGTATTTTGAGTCCCAGTCTGTGCATTCTGTCTTGGTCGGGTCTACATTGTGATGTACGTGTGTCTTCTCCCGTTCCTGGTTTGGATTACCCCTTGTGTGGACTCATTAAAGACTGTTTATTCTAATCTACATCTCCGTTGTTCACTCCGACACGGTGCGTGATATTAACGTTCCAACGTTCCACCTGCGGGACGTTTTGCATTGAGTTAAATTTGACAGGAATGCTCATATTTATTACCTTACATATGGAAATGATTGCATGCAGACAGTGCACCCTATTATATTAGTTTGAAAAATGAAAATGGCTATATAGACTATGGGACAAAAAAACTCTTTCAAACTATTTTCTGTATATCAAAATAAAATAGCTTTACCTGAAAATGCGTATTATATGAGGTTTCATATAAACTGAAGCCAAGGGAATTTATGCAAGACTTTCTTTTGCTCTGAGGATAGCATTAGCCTACATTTTATTTAGACAAGACATTAGAGGACATTATAACTGTATTTAATAAAGTACACCTTTATTGTTGTCAACCCTTGTTAAACTGCTAAATATTTCAGTTCTGCCAGACAAATAACAAGATGTGTTGTGGAGCTCCAAGCTGTTATCACATTTAGATGAATTAATGAATTAAACTAAATATCACTGAAACAAAACAGCTAAGAATTAAACAACTAACAAAACGAAGAAACTGCCGCTGATGGCAGGTTTGGCCTGTGTGTGTGTGTGTGTGTAGAGAGGGATGTAATCAGTCGCGCAGCCACCCGGCTCTTGGGCCGGTGACAAATCGAAAGTGTCTCGCTGTAGTTTATTGCCCTGATCAGGTCAAACGAAAAATATTGGAGGTCTGGGCGAAGAGACAGTTCCGTCTGCCGCAGATAAATGGACTGATCATTTCTTATTGAGAAACAATTCCTAAAAGGTAGTTTACAGCATGACTGAGGGAAGCAGGCGGCGCAGAGCTCCTACCCTGACCCTTCCCTCCGCCGCTGAATTAAATGGATAGAGAGAGGGCGAGTTTCTGATGGCACAACTCCACCGCAGAGACACTCCATTTATTATGGAGCAGGGGCCTCTGATGAAGTGTAGGCAGAGGGTTCTTCTTCTTTATTTATTTATTTTCTCGCTTTTTCTCTCCCAGGTGAAGTACAAGGCTGGCCTTCAGGCTTCTACACTCCAAATGGATAGAGGGAGGCAATTGAATTTTACACTCCCCTGGTTATGATTAATGCCCGTCTGTGATGGCTGTAGAGGCGGGAAACCGCCGCAAGGTGGCGCTGGTAATCCACACGCGTCTCTGCTTCCCAGTTCGCATTTCGTGCCCTGAAAGTATGTACTTCGCTGATAATGGGAATGTAGGTACTGTTGAGTAAGACTGTACACCAGAATTTCTACATAAAATCATGATGTAACTAGATAGCTAAATCCATTACCTCAAAATTCTCTGATTACCGGTACTTAAGGTTTGTACATTGCGCTGTAGTTAGGTACAGTTCTTCTGAAAAAGTTAAGAGAAACAACTCCACAAACAACTCTTTCGCTGTTCAAGGGGTTTCCTCGTCAGGTAAAGTGCACTTCATGGCCAAAAGTAAAAGGTGTGTTTGCACTTGAACACCATGCATGAAACCACTGGCATTAATTGCTATCTAACATCTTCTACTCTTCTGTGAAGGCCTTATAGTAGAGTCGTGGATGCAACCATTTTGCCTCAAAGGCCCTCCTATTCTCATAATATTTAAAGACCCCCATAAATTCTAAATATATATGGTATTTCTGCTGATGAAGCTGCTTATTTTAAAATAGGAGCATTGGTAAGGGTTTTTATAGGTAGATTGTTATAGTTAACTAAAACCGAAACTTAAAAAAAAAAAACATTAACTAAAATAAAAATAAAAAAATACATTGAGAAAAAAAAAATGTAGAGAAACAGAAAAATGTACTGGTATTTTCTGCCAGGCCATTTTCCATTAACTTTACAGACATTTCCTTTAACCCAGAATACAATGATTAATTCAAAATGTGAGGAAAACACCTTTTTTTTTTAACAATCATTATGCAAAATTTCTTTATATTAACACAGTACAGTGGACCTTATTTTTACAGACTTTTTATGGTGTTCTAAAATAACTAAAACTGAAGTAAAAATGTGTAAAAACAATAGCAATCTTGATTTAGTTTTTTAGCATTTGCAGTTATATTATTGTACTATAATAATCATAAAATAAAATAAAAAGAAATTATAAAAAGAAATTGTATAAAATAATAAAATTGTATTAATTGGAGGTTTGCTGAGGCTCTCTGGTTGAGAACCACTGATGGAGAAAGTCCCAATTACAAAATAATTACAGGAATAGCCAAAATAGTCTTTTTTTAAATCTTGCCGCTTTCTGGCTGCAAGCTCACTTTCATCTGCCTCTATTTTTGAGTGCAACTCTAACATTTCAAAATCCAATCAACAACCAAAAGACAGAAACCAGGTCTGGCCACACATTTGTTTCTTTTAGGACAATCCGTTACACTCGGATGAACTTCATAATACAGAACAAAAAATTTGTCGCCGCTTCCATTTCATTGTGACTTTAAGCCAGCCTAAGCTGGTTTTCTGATCTTAGCTTGGCCAGTCTGGTCTGGTTTGCTGGTTTAGTGGTCCAGTGGTGCAATAGGGTAGTGTTAAAACAAACTCCACTTTATTCTGCAGTCAATGTTAATGGAAAGTGTGCCCCACTGGCAGCGTGTTATTGCTCTGTGCTCCGTGTGCAACCTGGAGAGTGGGCAGTAAATGTCACTTTATCACTTAACCCATTATATAAGGGTTGAAAGGTCTAATAAAACCCACGCGAGGTGCTGTTATTGGACTACATAATGTGTGTTTATGGCTCTGCTGCAGGGATTCAGAGATATTCACTTGTAAACCTGTAGAGAAGCAATGAAATTCTTCTCTTGATGAACATTAATGGAGGTTTATTCATTTGGCAAATACAATTTTGTGAAAACCGATCGGGTTAAATTTTGTTCTGTTGACATGATCAGCTGCACTTTGACTCGGGGAACGTATGACATGCATCAAGTGTGATTAGATCTGTTTATTTGCAGTTTCACCCAGAATGCCTGAGCAATATGTAAAGAACTTTATAGAGGTTCTTTGGTAATGAAAGGATCAATATGTATTACTGTGCTCAAGACAGGAGACAGCGGCGGCTTTAATTTAGCATTAATAATGCAGGAACAGATCAAGTTGAGTGTGTGAGAGAGAGTGTGTGTGTATCCGTGGTGATTTGAGCTATGATCACAATATCCAGGAATGCAGTATAACAGATCATAGATATCATTACTTTTATACAAAGTCATTTTTTAATGTTTCACCAGATGAGACAACATGTTTTAAAACTGAATGTGAGCTCTAGTCTTACACCAATACTAATGAACAGTATTAGGAGTAACGTATTGCAAGTTACGTAACCAGATATTTTTTTCAAGTAACTAGTAACATTCCACCTCGCTGCCCCACTCCGGGTACGTCGGTGGTTCCGCTGGTCCCGCTTGTACGGTATCTGGAAGCCTGGCTAGCGCTGTCCAGGCCGTCTTGCTGGCTCCTTCGAACCATTAGACTCGCCTATGCGATTCAGTTCGCCCGGCGTCTCCCCAAGTTCAGGGGCGTCCACTTCACATCAGTGAAGGCAGTCGATGCTCATGTCTTGCGTGCGGAGATCGCAGTCCTGCTGGCGAAGGATGCGATAGAGCTGGTCCCTCCAGCCGATATGAGTGCGGGGTTTTACAGCCCCTACTTTATTGCACCCAAGAAAGGCGGTGGGTTATGACCGATATTGGACCTGCGTGTCTTGAACCGCGTGTCGTGTCCGTTCAAGAAGTTAATGCAGAAACGCATCTTCGGGTGCATCCGTCCCCTAGATTGGTTTGCAGAGACCGACCTGAAGGACGCGTACGTTCATGTGTCAATCCTACCGCGCCACAGACCTTTTCTGCGGTTTGCATTCGAGGGTCGAGCATATCAGTACAAGGTCCTGCCCTTCGGGCTGTCCCTGTCCCCCCGTGCCTTCACGAAAGTTGCGGAGGGGGCTCTTGTTCCCCTGAAAGAGCAGGGTGTTCGCATCCTCAACTATGTCGACGACTGGCTCATACTAGCACAGTCTCGGGATCAGTTGTGTGAGAACAGGGATTTGGTGCTCAGGCACCTCAGCCTTCATGGCTGAGTCCCGAGGTGGGCGTGGCAGCGCAGCACTCACCGGGTCCAAGTTACACCAGCCTGTCTCCAAACCTTCACCCCGTGGTCAGACCTTGCGGTTCTTCGGGCAGGAGTGCCCCTGGACCAGGTCTCGAGTCATGCTGTGGTACATACGGATGCCTCCACCACCGGCTGGGGTGCCACGTACAACGGGCAAGCAGTCTCGGGGGTGTGGACGGCCCCCAACTGCACTGGCACATCAACTGCCTAGAGTTGCTAGCAGTACGTCTTGCCTTGAACTGTCTCAGAGGGCGCTTACTAGGCAAGCACGTGCTGGTCCGCACAGACAACACTGCGACTGTTGCGTACATCAACCGACAAGGTGGTCTGCGCTCCCGTCGTATGTCGCAACTCGCCTGCCACCTCCTCCTCTGGAGTCAGAAGCGTCTGAGGTCGCTTCGTGCCGTTCACATTCCGGGCCTGCACAACCGTGCAGCTGACGAGCTGTCACGAGCGGCACTCCCCGGAGAATGGAGACTCCATCCCTGGACGGTCCAGCTGATTTGGAGACGTTTGGAGTCGCTCAGGCAGACCTGTTTGCCTCTCCAGAAATCACTCAATGCCAGCTGTTCTACTCCCTGACCGAGGGAACACTCGGCACGGACGCACTGGCACACAGCTGGCCTCGGGGCCTGCGCAAATATGCGTTTCCCCCAGTGAGCCTTCTTGCACAGACACTGTGCAAAGTCAGGGAGGATGAGGAGCAGGTCCTGCTTGTGGCGCCCTACTGGCCCTCTCGGACCTGGTTCCCAGAAATTAGCACTGGCACACAGCTGGCCTCGGGGCCTGCGCAAATATGCGTTTCCCCCAGTGAGCCTTCTTGCACAGACACTGTGCAAAGTCAGGGAGGATGAGGAGCAGGTCCTGCTTGTGGCGCCCTACTGGCCCTCTCGGACCTGGTTCCCAGAAATTATGCTCCTCATGACACCCGCGTCCAGACCTCTGGAAACTTCATGTCTGGTCCCTGGACGGGACGCGGAGGTTCTAGGTTACCTACCTCATAGAGGGGAGAACGGTGGGGAAGCACCACCTGGTCATCAGGTTCCTTAGGGGGGCCAGAAGGTTGAACCCTCCTCGGCCTCCCTCTATACCTTCTTGGGACCTGTCTCTGGTGCTCAAAGCACTACAGCGGGTCCCATTTGAGCCTTTGCAATCAGTTCAGCTGAAATTTCTTTCAATGAAGACTCTGCTCCTGGTTGCACTGGCCTCCATCAAGAGGGTAGGGGACCTGCACGCATTTTCGGCGACGATTCGTGCCTAGAGTTTGGGCCGGCTGACTCCCAGGTAATCCTGATGCCCCGGCCCGGCTATGTGCCCAAGGTTCCCACTACTCCCTTCAGGGATCAGGTGGTGAACCTCCAAGCGCTGCCCTCGGAGGAGGCAGACCCA